TTAGTAGTGGGGCTTCACGAAGAATCAACGGAAGACGAAATTACCGATAAATTCGCCGATTTCGGCGAAATAAAAAATCTTCACCTGAATTTAGATCGAAGGACAGGTTTTGTTAAGGTCAATGGATATAATTTTTGTTTTATGAGAATGCTTTTTTTTTTTCGTTATTGTAAAAAATAAATTAATCCTGTTATCGATATGCATCTACCATTTTTTTTCCAGGGATATGCGCTCGTCGAATATGAAACTTACAAAGAAGCTAAAACTGCAATTGATGCCGTAAATGGCACTAAACTTCTTGGTAAAACCCTGCATTGTGATTTTGCTTTTATAAGAGCACCCATGGCTACAGCTTCAGGAATAGAGAGGGATTCACGAGATCGTAGTACAGCAAGAAACAGGACGGCCGGTAGACGACGCGGAAGATCGTCGAGTCCATCGAAGAGATACTGACTGGATAGATTTATTGTGACGTTTATTATTAATCCGTTTTTGTTAATAAATGGTTTAAGCAAAAGTTTGATAGAGTATTAGTGGTAACGAGAGTATGTTGGTGCCCATACATATAGATAGCATTACCTTAAGGACATGTCAAGAATATCTGTGTACTTGATAGAAATTGTACAACTATATGATAACATTCAAGGCATACAATCAGTATTCGGGATAAAAACTAATAAAAAATGAATCATTATTTTTATAGTTTCAAGCATTTATGAGTCACATTATACAGTATATCTCAAATTTGTTTCAAGTGCTTATCGTTTGTTTAGAAATTAACGTCATCATTAATACTTTATTGAAAATTAGATAAGAAATAATAGCATACAGTTACAATTAAAGGTGTCTTAAAATTCAAAGTTTGCTTTATCACATTTCTATTTCTAGTTAACTCGATCTTTAATTTAATTTATTGTTAATGAATAAATAGATTTTTATAATAATCACAAAAAATACAGTATTAATTAAAAAATAATAATAATAATGAAATAATATATGGATAACAATAAAAAAAATTTTCTGGGGATATATAAGGAATTCAAGTTATAAATACAAAATGAACAAACTTGATTAAACCAACTATTTTTTTTTTTGATTAAATCTTGTATACTCAAAAAATATATATTGTACTGTATATAGCTTAATATCAATTCAATAGTTTCTAATTTATAATATATTATTGATTGAATTTAACATTTTTATAATAATAATAATTTTATTTTTTTAATTTTTTTAATAGACATATACTGTATTTACTGATTTATAAAAGTAAAAATAAAAAGAATTTCAAGAAAAATTTATAAAAAAATAATTGTTATAGGTAAAGATAGGTCCCTAAATTAAAAGCGAAAACATAATTTAAATGTTTCTTACTATTAAAAAAGTTTTTTTTTAAATATGAGATCCAAAAAAAAACTATCTATAAAGGTTTTTGCAATTTAGATTACTTGATTCAAATGTTTTTTGAATTATATCCCTATTAAAATAATAAATAAATAATTATATCCTTTCAAAAAGATATAATTAATCTGTGAAATTTTATATACTAAATAATTTAGGGATCTATCTTTAATTATGGATCTTTTTTATGCAATTAAAGAAAAAAACAGAGGTTTTAATTTTGTTTTTTCTTAATTAAAGATTATATTCTAATATATCAAAATACTTTTTTGATTTTCTTAAAGCTTTTGTAATAAAAATAAAGAAAATTTAAAAGACTTTTAAAAATTGAAAAGCAAAAAAATATATTATATATAGAAAAAAGTTTTTGTTTAAAATAAAAAAACATTTCTTCAGTCTATAAAAAAAAACTCTTTTCTATTTATTACATATTTTTTAAAAATTTCTTTTTTTGAAAATACTTTTTTTAAAAACAAAAGAAAAAGAGATTTCTTTAATGAAATACACTCTAATATCCCTAAATTAGTAATACAATACTATATTCTTTCTGGAGATATAGTTCTTGTTGGTAAAAAAAATATAAAGGCTGAAAACAGCTTATTTTATCCTCAAACAAGTGTTTTGAATAGCAAGCTGAAAGTACTATCAGGATTTTGTATTGGTCTTTTAATGATCAAAGAAGTTGGATAGTATTCTTATATAGCTAGAAGATATAGGCTAATAATATAACAACCAAGTAAAAGAAACACAATTATCTAAATGGGTAACATATTACAAGAACCAAACATTCTTCACTTCTTTTCTATAAACTTTGACTATAGTACAATATTATATCACTTTTGTTGGGTTTATGAATATAATACCTTGTGACCAAATTTTATTTAATTATAATAAATAGCAACAGTAATATTCCACTTGAACTAGAAAGCAAATGACCAATTTTAGTTAAAGTTTTTTCAGATAGACAAAGTCTGTAAGAAGATATAAAAAATATAAATAGATTCTATATATCTATGGAATATATACAATTATATATAGACAGGTTTTAATAGTTTTTCTTTTAATATATACAATTAAATTTTTAAAAAGAAGTAGATCTTAGTTCAATTAATAAGAGTGGTGTTTGCAATTATTTTTTTCTCCTTGAAACAGGTTTCTTCTGTTTCATCCTCTCTGTTCCTTTCTTATTTTATTCCTAATCTAACTCCAAAAAGAAAAAACTTTTTTTTTTCATAGGTTTTCTTTTTAAAATCAAATTTTTTTAACCTATTTAGAGCCAATAAATTTTTTATTGGATATAATTAGTCCATGGTTACTGTATCTAGATATGATCTTTTAAATTACTATTCATTAGATGGTGGATGAACCTAATGACATATATTTTGATATATTAGTATTTTACCAATTTATTAGAGTTAATGCTTGCATTGATATTGATAAAATAAGAGAAATGAGAAGCAACAAGCTAACCAATAAACATTAGTCTTAGATAGTTTAGCAAATAGTTAAGTAGAAAAAATTTGTACTAAATAGATTTAAAGTTCTATAAATTAATATTTAATAAACAAGATATATACTAGTTATATTAAAAAAAAAAACACCTATTTTTTTATTTATTTCATATATAACAAAATTTACAATATATTTATAAAAAAAAACAAGATTTTTTAGATACAAAATATATAATAAATTAAATATTAGTTTAACTACTACAACTATATATTTGATAAAATTAAATTCAGATATTTTTCAAAAATAATATTAAATAAAATTATTAAATAATATATAACAAATAAATAAGAATCATATTTAATTCAAAATTATATTTTAATCAAACTTTCTTTTATGGTATTATACTTTTTAAATTTATTATTACATAAAAATATACATAATAACTTTATTTAAAATTTTAATATATTAAAAAAAACTCTTTCTTGAAAATCTTATATTCAATAAAAAATATCAAATAAGAAAATATAAAAATTTCGTTTTAAAAAAAAACTGCCAAAGACCTTGAAGAAGTTTCCTCCTCCAAAGGCTAACTTAATAATTATGAGTATATTCTTCTGAATGTTTTTATTACTAATATTCAAAAATTAGAAGCCATCATTATTTATAAAAACATCAAAATAAACAAATCATCATTTCTTTACTATACCTTATATATAAACTTTTGAATCTTGAAAATACTTCCCAATTATGGCTCACATTAGTGTGCTCTACTATTGAAGGTTCAGAAATACCTAAAGTAATTGTCACTTCCTTTAAAATATATCAAAGAATCAGAATCTCAATACCAATAACTATTGCCAATATTTCTTACTTGAATCCTATACCAACAGACTTTCTTAATGTCTTTCTCGACTTTTAAAATATATTTGAAATAACTAATGAAAATAGAATTGAGATAATAAAGAAGATAATAAAAAAGTAGCTAAATTACAAACTACACATGTTATGGAATAGACTCAATATTCTTTTCTCAAATACAGACAATACTTTTTTCTTTAAATAAAAAACCGAAACACCCAGATTCCCTTCAAACACTCCAGCCCCTAATAAAGCAATGAGCAATAACAATGAAATGCAGGATGATTGTTCCATTAAAATACTTTATGCAGCAACTCCTACATATAATGCAAATCAAACCAGCCCAAATACAAATGTATGTAATATACATATTCCAAGCCAAAAATAACTTATCTATATCTATATTACTTAATGCCAGCATAGAAATAAAAATTGATAAACAAGTTATGCCAGCCACAATTACAGTACAACATAACCTAATATCAGCCATAGCTATCACCTCCTGGACAGATAAAGTCAACAAAAATCAAACTTCTATCAGATCTAACATATCATTAACAATTGAAGAAGACATCAGAAAAATCAATCCTCTTGAAGAGTATTCCAAAATTCTTGAACTCTGCAGAAAGGTAAATAAATGTGAAAGAAACATCAATACAATAATCCAATGGTTTTTTAACATTAGAAAAGTGGAACCTTCTAATATTAAACCAATAATCAAAGCTATAATGACAAAAATTGGATACAGAGATCACAATTTCTTCAGGACTTTTGCCAAAAAGGCTCTTCTAAAGAGTAAATATCAAATTAAGTATAAAAACATAGAAAAAGGATTTCATAACAATTAAAAATGGATCCTTAAATTAAAGGTGAGAATATAATTCAAATGTCTCTTACTATTAAAAAAGTTTTTTTTAAATATAAGATTAAAAAAAAACTACCTACAAAGATTTTTTGCAATTTAGGCCACTTGATTCAAATGTTTTTTAAATTATATCTCTATTAAAATAATAAATAATTAATTATGTTTCTTCAAAAGGGACATAATTAATCTACAAAATTTTATATGTTAAATAATTTAGGGATCTATCTTTAATAACAACTATCTAAAAGTCAACAATATTGGTTATATTAACAGGACAACCAAAAAAAAATCAAAGTTATTATCAACAAAACTCTTTTTATTATATACCTAAAATCCACAGACCTTACTTTTCTTAAATACTGACAAATAGTCCAGCTTCTCAAGTATAGCTTCAATTTCTTCATTAATCCAATATTTAAAAAACTCAATTATCAAACTTTGTTTCTCAAATATGAGAAAACCATTAAAAATAAACTCCTTTAACTACTTACCTTACCTGATCTTGTTTCCATTTCAATTAAAATCAAACTTTCATATGCTATTCCTATTATCTCCTTCAAACATATAGCCAATATAGTCAGTAGTCTTAGAGCATACTATAACTTTGATTAACTTCCCACATCATTTTTCATACAAAGACTAATCATCTTGGATAATTCCACAGATCTTAAACCTGAAGTTAAATTATTATTTCCCTTAATCAAGCAAAGTAATCTCAGAAATCTCAGAGAGCTCACCAATCAAATAAGAAAGTATTATCATGTTCCTGCAAAATTACTTGACTTTTACTTTAGACTCTTATTACCAAAAGAAACATTATTCTCATTTTACATAGACTTGCTCTTCAAACTAGTTTATCACTTCCCAGTAAAGAACA